GGAAAAGAGATTGTTGATTTGGTTCTAGACAGGTTGCGAAAATTGGCCGATCAGTGCACAGGCATTCAGGGCTTTATTATTTTCCACTCCTATGGTGGAGGCACAGGCTCCGGATTCACATCTCTGTTCATGGAACGCCTTAGTGTTGACTATGGCAAAAAATCCAAATTAGAGTATGCCATCTATCCTGCACCTCAGATCTCTACTGCCGTTGTAGAACCGTACAATGCTATACTTTGCACTCATTCAACAATTGAACACTCTGATTGTGCATTCATGGTAGACAATGAGGCCCTTTACGACGTGTGCCGTCGCAATCTGGATATTGAACGACCAACATACACTAATTTGAACCGTCTAGCTGCGCAGATTATAAGTTCCACCACAGCCTCACTGCGCTTTGATGGTGCTCTAAACGTGGACCTGACAGAATTTCAGACCAATCTCGTCCCCTATCCTCGTATTCATTTCCCACTAGTCACTTACGCACCTACAGTGTCCGCAGAGAAAGCATACCACGAGCGCCTTAGCGTAGCTGAACTGACTAATAGCACTTTCGAACCGGCAAACCAGATGGTCAAGTGTGATCCACGTCACGGCAAGTATATGACATGTTGCATGCTTTACCGTGGCGACGTGGCGCCAAAGGACGTGAACTCCGCCATCGCCGCCATAAAGACGAAACGGACCATCCAGTTTGTGGATTGGTGTCCTACGGGCTTCAAGATTGGGATCAACTATCAACCCCCTACCGTGGTCCCAGGCGGCGATTTGGCTAAGGTGCAACGTGCGCTTTGTATGATTGCCAACACCACGGCGATTGCAGAGGCTTGGGCTCGTTTAGACCACAAATTCGACTTAATGTACGCTAAACGTTGTTTCGTCCACTGGTACGTCGGTGAAGGCATGGAAGAAGGTGAATTTTCTGAGGCACGAGAGGACCTAGCCGCCCTTGAGAAGGATTATGACGAAGTCGGAGCTGACACGGTGGAAGGCGAGGGAGAAGAAGAGGAGGAGTACTAAGCACTGCTCTCCCACCCCGCACTTGATTGATACCTTACTCCCCATCACTTTTCTACCTTCCAAATAAATTTGTACATTAAAGTCACTGCAAACATTTTAAACGAGCCTTGAGGGACTTCCGGAGTACCAGTAAGTAGAACTTGAACCCTTTATTTTACTTCCCTGAAGGAAAGTGTTGTTTTGATGACGCATTAAGTATCATAATGACATGCTGTTACTACACGAAAAACCGAAGTTTAGTCCAGACACCATTCACCAGTTCGATACAAATGAGTTAGTGGCCTCAATTGACGCTTGCTTGACTCGTAGCACAACAGGTACTGAGGTTGTCGGCAGGATACCCAGCTCTGTGATAACCGCGGAGACAAGTTCAGGCGGAATGACATCGTATACGAGGTTAAGGAGGCGCAGATTCTTCAACCCTTCAGTCCGTTGAGAGAGCTCGCGCCAAGCCTCTGGGTGAGTGGTCTTGGCCACTACCAAGTCGGGGTCTTTGGGAACTCGCCAGTCTTCGGTGGTGCCGCGCGGCCCGCGCCAAATCTCGTCGGGGTCGCCAAGCTCATTGAATTCAAAGGCGTCAGACTGGGCACGCTCCCAGAACTTATAAGTCTCTGCACACACCATAACCGGAGTGTGCGCAACTGATGCAACTATGTTTGCCACGTGGGCTGTCCCCATGGTTGCGATAACATAACCATTGCTCAGAAGACTATGCGCTCCCAATAAAGTCAAAGAGACCTAAAATTGATAAATTAGTTTGCAAAGTGCATTCCCACAAAGTGTTATTGAAAAAATGATCAAATGATAAGCGATCGGCATAAGGATCCCTTTTCTGTTGAAATGCCCACTTCTGAGAAATAGGATTTGAGCTTACAAAAATCCATGAGAGTCTACTGTTCCCAAACGGTGACACGAAACATGCCTCGGGAAAACTAATATGAGCAGAGGTCTACCACGAAGTGATGAATAGAGAAACCTCCAGTGAAAAGTATGCCCGACTAAGCCTCCATCTGGCATCCACGCATCGGTGGAAGTCGTTAACACAAAACCCTAGTCATGGTTACTGAGGTTACTGAGACTTCAAGCTCAAAATGCCCATCCAACCAAAATGCTGCGCATAGATTCACGATATTTCATTCAAAGATATGTCAACGCCCTGTTTGTTCTAGTTTGTCCGTAATGTCACATAAATTAAGCTTTTGTTTGTGGAGAGTGAATTCCAAGAATTAACAATTCCTATCATAGAAAAGCTGGAATACCCGACTTTATGAAGACATTGGTACAATCACAATCCCTGACATTTCAAAACGCAGAATAGCTAGTACTTGTTGTGACTAGCGTTTTCGACAAGTCAAACTGGTGCTAATTCACTCAGTAAATAGCTTCGAGTAAACGCATTCAAATGCTTAGCAAAGTGTCGATCAGATCTGCCGAGCCCGTATTCATACCATGAAAATCTAGCCAACAGTTAAAGCTCCTAAATCTCACTCGACATCGTACCTTGGGAACAACCATGGGCAAGGCAGCAATGTGAACAATTTCACAGGGAATCCCAATTTTCCGAAGACGAAGGAACATCCGCCGGCCCTCGCAACGAGGCCGACAATCGACCACAAGAACTGTGAAATTGTGATGACGTGTTTCCCACGTAACCTGAAGGGCCTTTGCCACCACCGTAGATTCTCCAAACACGCACACAACTCCACCAGGAGGGACTGACTCCGCCACCAGGTTAGCTATTGCTTGATCAGCAAGATGAACCCGTTCATCCATGAAACTGCCCACTGCATCCAAGAGCTGACTCTTCATCTACAATGGCACAAACAACCACCTAAAATGATATTGAAGCAGTCAGAGATAAATTAATCGCTAGTGTACTCGAGGCTGCCAACTGAGGCTGTTCAGAACAGACCAATGAAATGCTCTGCTGCAGATGCCTTAGAAAGCGTGGTGCATGCAAAATAGAACCATTGAAAGGGGTGGACGTTGCAAAGCGTGAGTGCAGGTTTCAACGTGGACAAAGTGGAAACTAAGCTAACCTCTTCAGGCGAATCAACACCATCCAGTCGATGCAGGATGATCTTAATATACTGCACGGCGCTACGCACAGTGACAGATAGTGGCCGACACTGATCCAAAAAGGTGACATGACGGTCGAAGTAAGTGTGAAAGCCTCTAGCCAGACTCCCGCCAATTCCTGGAACGTCCTCCCAATTGAAGTTGAGGATCAATGCCACTGTGGCTCTCAAGAACTCTAAACACCGCCTGTTTGAACCTGCCACCCGACCCTCGTCCAACTCCAGACCCAGTCGCAGAAAGAAGGGATGAATGGAGGAGATTTTACCCAGTCTAAGTAGAAAACAACAGTTGAATCCTACAAATAAATGACTATCTGGTCAGGAAAGCATACTTGTGCTGACCGAGCACGTTAACTCGCTTATCGGGCTGACTAAGGTGACAGAAGAGGTTGACTCGCACTGGCTCCTGCGGTCTTGGCTGCAGCTTTTTCTTGTGAAGCTGGCGTACAGACTTTTTCAGATGAGCAGGGTCGTCCATTCGCATAACACCAAGAGCCTGTTGACCGCCACTGACTGCAGATGCGCTCGTAGCTACTTGAGGCTTATTCGGTGTAGACGGCTGAATGGTGATCGATAGCTGACTTTCCGGCGCAAACCCCTCTGAAGAGGGAATCTTTTGTTGATTGAGAGAAGCCTGAGAGCTAGCATTCTTCTCCTGCAGGACAAGAAGGGTCTCGGGTTTGTTCGCACTTTGCTGTTGCTGTTTCTGCAGTTGTTGTCTTGCTTGGTCGCCTAATGACTTTGTACTTCCATCAGGCTGAAGGTCGGAAGTAGAAGTTGCCACAACACTTTTTACCTTCGCTGCTTTGGCAGCCATTTTTGCTGCGCGCTGAGCCTCCTAAAAGATCCACACTCCATGCAAATCCGCTTAAGATATGAATTCTAAAAATCCAATTTCATGCTCGAATGGCAGAACCCATACCCTGGAAATGCATACTAGTAGTTATAAACACCTGAGATCTACAAACCAAATGTGTCGCAACACAACTACAGTGGTTCTTTCGAATGCCATTAACATTTACTTTTGCAAATATAGAGACGAGAAGAGCAAACAAGTCACATGATACAACCCAAACGACTTAGCTTACCTGCAATTCACGACGTTCACGCCTCAGTTCCGCCTTAGATTTGGAGGCTTTGGGTAGATTGACAGGCACTTGCATTGCTAGCTGGAATACCAGTTTTGAGCAAATTAAACATCATCGATCACCCACGTACCAAGGATTTACTTTTCGGCTAGCCTTATTCGGGACATCGCACACCCTGAAACTAAAGCAGCTACCAACTAGACGAAACAACAATTGAAATTGATCGATAGTGGCTAAGAGTTTAACCCCAACGGCGAGTAGAATCAATGTGTGGTCAGATAAAATGTTATTAGAACTGTACCCCAATGATACTTGAGGTCAATGAAAGGCCAAACAAGCTACTATCTTTATTTAACACAATTGATACCGATGCAGCATCACATACACGCAAGAAACACACAAAATAGCCAATGAAACACCGACGGCCAGTGTAGTAGCGCCAAAGCCTCTCAAGATAATCTAGTGGAAATAGGAAGCATCTGCAAATGAAAGGCCGTATTTGTGCTTATTAAATATATCTTAATTTTTGGGCCATCTATCAAAAGTTTTGAGAACTTTCGATTTGAAACAATGAAATTTCTAGTTTATGTTTTAACCATATAAACTGTTTATTGTGGCTAATCGACACTGTCGCCCCAACTCCATATAAATAAGTGAATAAAAGTATAGCAATGCATAAATTATGTATATGTATAAAAAGGTCTCTGATGGCATTAAATAAGATCAACATAATTCGCATTCGTAATAATTAATCTAGGCAAGTACAGTGCCAAAAACGCTATTCACTTTATTGCTGAAAGAATTTTGGGCATTCTCAAACTTTCCACTAGGTAGAAGAGGGTATTCATTTGGGATAAATGCATGTATTCCATTAGGAGGTAAAGGAGGAGGAGGAACAGGAAGAGGAGGAGGATGAAGAGGAAGAGGGGGGGAAGATGTGATTAAATTGTGGCTTGGCTCAAAGACTAGTCCACGCGTATAGGAACAAGAAGACTGCCAAAGTAACCACCAGGGATCTGGTGGTTGGAAAAAGGAATTACACATTTTTACACTGATAATACCTGCCATTTAAGATTTGTCTAGCCCTTGTACGTGTGAGTTGGACTTCGGGCCACGCTCGGGCCTAGTCGCTTTATTCTCTTTGGAACGCATGTATCCAGCTTCAGGTACCGCCTTCTTCCACCCGATGGAAGTCTCGGGATGCTACATAAATTTCTTGATTTCCCTTTCGGCATTTAAGGCATTCGGATAAACAAAATATAAATTATCCCATTGCCATCTTCGAGGACCAGCTCACGTGGTAAAGTAAGACGACCTCCAATCATGCAGGTAATCGCATTAACAATACATTGTGTCTTTCCCCTATAATACTTTTTTATGTGACTACCTGATATCTGGTGGTGGCTTTTGCATTAGTCTTGGCCTTACATGTGTAGGCAAATCTTTAAGCCAAGGTCTAATCTCTTCTCATTCTCTCCTCTTCTTTGACCTAGTTGGAAGACTGGGGCACTATGCCTCCCTTTATTTGAGCTACGTTTTTATGACACTTTTCTCGGTACACCTTTCTCTTTAGCCATCGCAACATATTCGGTAGAACAGAGGGCCTGCACCTGGCCATCCAGGCAGCTTCATCTTGAACTAGAGGTGCGTTGGGTTTTAAAAATCAGAATTCAGTGGCAATCGCACTTATTGAGCATTAGCTATGTCCATGGTTAGACATGAAGAGACTGATCCAAAGCAGTTGTTTAAAAGCGAAAACGGCATGGAACACGGTCTCCTACAGAGGAGGATTTAGCATGACGCCATTATCGACATCAGCAAGCAGATGACATAAGGGAACTTCCAAAGAAACATAGTCCAAGCGATGTATAATGGTTTAGTTTCAGTTGTTAAGAGTTTTATACATATTTCGATTACTATGTTCATTTGACTACCTGTCTGACTAAATGTGTATGCATTTTGTGGGAGCCGGTCTTTAGGCCAAGCCAAAGCTTAGTCTCTCCCCAATTTCTTACTAAATGAATGCATTCAGACCTACTTAATGCTGTCTTTCACCGATTCGGCGAAAGTTTATCAAAAACGATAAAAAACTAGCATTGGAGTCGTTACAAATTTTGCCTGCTTTCTGCTGTCGCCAATGAAACACTTCAATAATGTGACCACCTAAGGAATGGAGGCTGCTCTGTTGTTCCTCCTGCCATCGCAAAATTGAACTGGACTTAGCAAAGCCAATGTAGCTTCCCGAGACTTCCCACAGGGT